AACGCCGGCCCTGGAAGAAAATATCATGAAACGTAATTTAAAAGCTGTCACAAATAGCCGCCTGTCCCTTTTAATAGCCGGGCATCAGCACCGTTCTATATACCTTTATGAAATAGAGATAAATAGTCATTTTTGTAGGCACCAACTCCGACATGGTCTTTTTGTAGCCACTAACGCCGCCATGGTTCTTTGGACAAAGCCTATGAGATAATCTTAATCAGCTAACGTCACTTTTTGGGAATTTTGAAGCATTTATGTAATAGAAAATGTACATGACGCACATAAAGGCTTCATAATCCATAAAGGTCATGTTAACTGACTGATATCATAGAACAAACGGTATAAGGCTGTGTTAAAGGGCGACTGCACTTCCTGATTTGTTCTCGTTTTAGATTTGGTTCATTAAGAAATGCTACCGGCCATGACTGAATTCAAACGTGAGTTTGTGTCGGGTGTGGTTTGATGTGAGTGTTTCTTGTGTGTTCGCAGGTAGGAAGAGCCAAATTATTTCGCCAATAAAAAAAAAAAAAAACGAATAAATCCCTACTAACTTCTACCACACTCTCCCCCATTCAACTTTATTCATATCATGCTGAAACACTCCACCCTTAGGATTGTTCAGCATGTCAACAACCATTTCAACAGTAACATCTGTTACACCCAATCTCTTTTGCCGTCTCCACAATAATCTTCAACCTGGCATTTCTGCTTTCCACAACCCGAGTCGTATTGGTAACCTTACCAATAAAAGCTATGAAGTCAACTTTATTCATTATCAAAGTGTCCTTTGACACCGCACATTCATGAGCGCAAGATTTCTGTACAGGCCTCGAAACAATGCCAGGACCAGCAGAAACACCAGCCCCGACATTAGGTCCACTTTTTACAAAAATGTTAGATGTTATAATAATGCTGTAGTTGTACATTTTCGGTGAAAATCACTACAATAAATTAGCTTTAGCTGTCATCCAGGCCTGATAATAGCTACACTATCTAGCTACTTCCCTCTCCGACTGCGGCAAGCCGGAGCGAAGGACACTGCCCCATGTTGTGTTACCGGCTTGCAGTGCAAACTCTCCCCATGTATCACGGTGACATCCAGATGGTTATAGTACCAAATACCAATATTACAAGTTATTCCTCGTGTAGGCGGTTATCCTACTCGAAATAAAATCAAGTGGGATGGAACAAATTGTCCACTTTAGCTACCGCCGGCGACATGTATGATTGTGATACAGCTTCCAGCTGGGTAGCAACTCACGTCAGCCATCATTAGCCTCTTCGCCCGGCCATTGCTAGCAAGCGCAACACTGTTGCACTGGTCATTCGCAACGGCTTATCTTTATGTTAGGTATTAGCATGTCATGGTGACCAATACTACAAGTTATTTCTCCCTCGCCCATGGAAATAAACATCACTTTCTCTTAACTAGCGCCATTCTGCTTCTGTTGTTGCCAGCATAAACTAGTTTGCTGGGAAGGGCTTATGACATAAGGACGACTGAACCGAATCCATTGTCTCTACTCGACTCACAGCTGCGCGACATACGTAATCAATTTGGCCACCAGGCGTGTCTGTATAGCTCACTGTCTTTGGTGTAGCCTTTCCCCTTTCAGTATCACATGCTGACCAAACCGGCCAGGTTGCGTGAGCGAGTATTGCTAAATAAATTTAAACATACGTTATTCAAATAGAACTTGGTTCTATTTTAGATGCTTGACACTGCAAGTCCTGCCTCTCCCATCTACTCATTTGTTTTTTATGAGCATATACCAATGTGAGTGATTGAAAGATGATTGAGGTCCACACTCCAGTCAAGTTGGTGGCCAACAGCCATACACAATCCACAGAAGAAGAACGAGGAGCAGTTAATCAAATGAAACTAACTAGGTTTTCCCATTTTATATGTGGATTAATTGTCGGAGTAGAGAACACATGATTTTGTATGGGTCAAAATTCTTCAAGGATCCAGCTAAAAAAAGGACCATATGCATTTCAGGGTAAGATAACAACTCAATGTTGATCTCCCAGGACAAATTAGCTTGAAACAGCAAGCTAAATGTTCATAAATGTTTCAACCTGTCCCCAAATTAATATAGTTGGTTTTGGTATTTTAACCTGCTGTCATGAAAACATCTGGTGGGGATATACAAAATCAACACCCACATGATGACGCAGACGCACGTGCAGAACCGGTTTGGTCAGCATGTCATATGCCGCATTCAAGTGCATGTTTGCTAAACCTTCCCTAACCCTAACCTTAACGCTTTAACCTAACCTTAACCCTTAACACCTAACCTCAGAGTTTCTAAACCCAGAGGGGAAACATTGTGAGACTTCCTGGAACGCTTACACACAGACCAGGCCGGGGTTTGCAGTTGGGTTTGGGAAGTCAATGAGCGAAGTGAAAAATTCTTCCTTAGGTGTACATTTTTTAAAATCTAAAGGCACAACCTAGATTCGAGCCAATGAACATGTTATTACTCCATCCTTGTGAAAGTGACAAACTGACACGTTTTCATTTTCATCAAAAATAACTTTATATCGAAGGAGTGCCTTTGATTTGATGGCCTGCACATGCGCAGTTCGGCGCGAGTACCGTTAGACCTGATTACGTGTTTCTACGCATGAGCTTTGCTACCCAATGTCGCCATGTCTTTGCCCTAACCCCTAGCCTAGCTAATGTTAACCACCTAGGTAACATTAGCCACAACAAATTGGAATTCGTAACATATACAGTACCAGTCAAAAGTTTGGACACCTACTCATTCAAGGGTTTTTCTTTATTTTTACTATTTTCTACATTGTAGAATAATAGTGAAGACATCAAAACAAATAACACATATGGAATCATGTAGTAAGCAAAAAAGTGTTAAACAAATGAAATTATATTTTATATTTGAGATTCTTCAATTAGCCACCCTTTGCCTTGATGACAGCTTTGCACACCATTGGCATTCTCTCAACCAGCTTCACGTGGAATGCTTTTCCAACAGTCTTGAAGGAGTTCCCACATATGCTGAGCACTTGTTGTCTGCTTTTCCTTCACTCTGCGGTCCAACTCATCCCAAACCATCTCAATTTGTGTTGGGTCATTGTCCTGTTGAAAAACAAATGATAGTCCCACTAAGCTCAAACCAGATGGGACGGCGTATCGCTGCAGAATGCTGTGGTAGCCATGCTGGTTAAGTGTGCTTTGAATTCTAAATAAATCACAGTCAGTGTCACCAGCAAAGCACCCCCACACCATAACACCTCCTCCTCCATGCTTTACGGTGGGAACTACACATGCGGAGATCATCCGTTCACCCACACGTGTCGCGGTTTGAACCATAAATCTCAAATTTGGACTCCAGACCAAAGGACACACTTCCACCGGTCTAATGTCCATTGCTCGTGTTTATTGGCCCAAGCAGGTCTCTTTTTCTTATTGGTGTACTTTAGTAGTGGTTTCTTTGCAGCAATTCAACCATGAAGGCCTGATTCACACAGTCCCCTCTGAACAGTTGATGTTGAGATGTGTCTGTGACTTGAACTCTGTGAAGCATTTATTTGGGCTGTATTTCTGAGGCTGGTAGATCTAATGAACTTATCCTCTGCAGCAGAGGTAACTCTGGGTCTTCCTTTCCTGTGGCGGTCCTCATGAGAGCCAGTTTCATCATAGCGCTTGATGGTTTTTGCAACTGCACTTGAACAAACTTTAAAAGTTATTGAAATGTTCCGTATTGACTGACCTTCATGTCTTAAAGTAATTATGGACTGTCGTTTCTCTTTGCTTATTTGAGCTGTTCTTGCCATAATATGGACTTGGTATTTTACCAAATAGGGCTATCTTCTGTATACCAACCCTACCTTGTCACAACACAACTGATTGTCTCAAACGCATTAAGAAGGAAAGCAATTCCACAAATTAACTTTTAACAAAGCACACCTGTTAATTAAAATTCATTCCAGGTGGCTACCTCATGAAGCTGGTTGAGAGAATGCCAAGAGTGTGCAAAGCTGTCATCAAGGCAAAGGGTGGCTATTTGAAGAATCTAAAATCTAAAATATATTTTGATTTGTTTAGCACTGTTTTGGTTACTACATGATTTCATATGTGTTATTTAATAGTTTTGATGTCTTCACTATTATTATACAATGTAAAAAATAGTAAAAATAAAGAAAAACCCTGGAATGAGTAGGTGTGTCCAAACTTTTGACTGGTAGTGTATGTTTAGCAAATTTGTAACATATTGTACAAATAGCAATCCGTAACATATACAAATTGTAATTTATAACATATCATATAAAATGGATGATGGACATCCACATATTAATACATACCATACGCAATGTAACGTATCATACAAATTGGAGTGTCCCGGATTCACGTTTACAGTGAGGGATTCAATTAATCTGGCTAGGGCGCCCGGGTAGACATGTTTCGTACCCTGTGAAAGTTGATTGCATTCGTTTTGGAACCGGACTGCCTCCCAGGCGTGAGCCAGGTGCTCTGCTCAAAACCCACTGCGAAATCGACTTAAAACAAAAGTGACATAATTAAACACATGGAGTAATGAGTAGGAATCTGTGTTTTCACATGCAAAAGTGATTGCTTTTGATAAAATCACTATCTGCCATCCCAATGAAAACTGGTTTAAAAACTCAAACATATTTGATGGAAAAGAGATATTGTATGTTTGTTGATGATACACCATGCTGCCTTGTTGATATGACCGAGAGGCGCAGATTACTGTTCGATTTGGGAAGGGCGCTCACCGCTTTTGCCCGTTCACATCACGGGCCATAGACCGGTGCCACGCATCTCATTGTAATCAAATTTTCCCTATGTTACGTCTACCCCTGAGTCCAGGTTGGCCAACGGTACTCTGCATTGTGCTTTGATCGTCCAATCAAAATAAGCCGGATGAAGGATGTGCTTAACTCAGCGTTTTCATTGGCTAAGAAGACAAGCCAAGGCTTTGGATGGATTCATCAGCACATTGCATACGTAATATGTGCGCGCTGGTCATGAATAGCTGATGAACATGGCAAGGACAGCTAAAAGGACAGACGAAGGCAATGAATACCGCGTAGAAATAACCATAATGGAACATACAAACTATTTTTAGGGCGCGACCGATTGTTTATTATCGTCACGCTTTAGTCTGTGACCTTGGGATTTTGACAGATTCGTTTAGAACGGGGGATTTGGAATCCTACATATCCGTCATATACCGCATTCACTTTGCTAAGGTCGAGCCCACTTAGCAATGGATTTTATCCTGAGCGGGGCAGCTGCCTGCGGGGCTTGCCTGTTCACAAACCCACTGGAGGTTGTCAAAACTCGGATGCAATTACAGGGAGAGCTCAAAAGCCGGGGGACATACCAGATTTACTACCGCAACGTTTTCCACGCTTTTTACACTATCGGCAAAGTAGATGGACTCGCTGGTTTACAGAAAGGTTTGGTACCGGGACTTGTCTATCAGTTTTTTATGAATGGAGTGAGGCTTGGGTCGTATTCAATCATTGAGTCATCTGGATACATCCACACGGACGGGAGGGTTAGTGCAGCCAAGACCACAGTTGCAGGGGCTGCGGCTGGAGTAGTTGGGGCAGTGATGGGAAGTCCCATCTACTTGGTGAGTATTGCGCATGCCCGGCATCATGGGTTATCGTTTGTGTGTTTACACTCATGGCTAGTGCGTGATCGTATACAGATGTATTTAAATGTCTGGCCTGTACTTTCTAATGCTGAAAACATCCCCAATGTCAGAATGACATTGTCAGTGGTGTAGTCTCTAGACCAGCGGTTCCCAACCTTTTCCCTTCCGGGGGGGGGGGGGGGGGGGGGACGACGACGACGACGACGACGACGACGATGATGACGACGACCAAATCACCGTCAAAAGCTCTTGAGGACCACCATTCGCTGAGTCGCAGAATCGTTTAACTTGCTGCTCAATTTTATCATAAATGTAACAGATTAAAGGCTTATTATTATTATTATTATTATTGTTATTATAAACAATTTGCATTGTGAAGTAATGTAAAATTGCGTATAATACCATTAATACTCCCAACTATTATTATTTTTTGAAGAAAATGAAATAAAAGATGAAATAAAATAATCGCGGACCACTTGAAACCACTGCTCTAGACTAGAGGACAGTTGGTGAGATGAGTGAAGGCTTGACATTCCTGTTGTTTACATCACTCAGGTGAAGACTCACATTCAGAATCAGGCCACTTCCTCTATAGCTGTTGGACATCAGTATCAACATCAGGTAAGGTCTAGTCCTCAATCAATGAAATAAATCACGTTTGTCAAATGTTCATATACATTGTAACTACTGTACTCACCCCTTCCATCCATTTCTACATTTTACTCCTCCTACCCCTCCATCTCTCTACCCCTTAATCTCTCTGTCTACACTTCCATCTCTCCTTCTACCCCTCCATCTCTCACCCCTCCATCCTTCCCTCTCTCTCTCAGGGGATGGTCCATGCTCTGGCAGCGATCCACAAGCAGCATGGTATCCTAGGCCTGTGGAGGGGCTCCAGTGCAGCTGTACCCAGGGTCAGCGTGGGGTCAGCTGCTCAACTCTATTCCTTCGCTGCCTCCAAGGAGCTTGTCATCGACCTACAGGTCAGGACGTGTTGTTAAGACAATTCTCTTGGGACAGACGGTTAACATATCCTAAATTGAGTAGCTGTCCAGTGAGCATGGGATATTTGGTCCTGTGATGCCAAGATTAGTGTGGTAGTAGGATAGATGGAGGCACACATAGTCTACAGGATCAAAAGAGGAGCCTAGACAACTAGCTGTCTGTGTCAGGGATGAAGAGGGACGCTATCAGGGAACCGGAGGGGTGAAAGGACCAATATTTAATTGTTGCCTGCTAAATCTAATTTCAGAGAGATAAGTAGGCATACATCAATTCAATCAATCAATCAATATCTTTGACTCTGTTGGCCTATTCCACCATTAGGTCTATGCCCCCTGAATGTTGGCTGTTTTTTGTTTACAAAACTCCACATCAAAGTCAATTTATAACAACACAGATGTTATTTGTGTTGTATATCATAGAGGACAGAGGTATTTGGGCAATTCCACAGTAACGGAATTATGCTTTGACGCCGAATTTTCACTTTAAATGTATGCCAAACAAAAAACATTGATTAAAAAATTTAGCAAACCATACAAGGATTACTTTGAAAAATGTACACAGAAAATTTAACTAAAACACATTTACTGGAAGAACTGTGCAAATGCAAAGATTGGTAACAGAATTACAGTAAAATCTCTAGTTTTTTATCTGACCACATTTTCCAAAAACTCTGTTAACCCTTTACACTCGTACTGGTATGCGAGTTGAAAATGACAGATTTGGGCACTGATAAGAGCCTAAATTGGAACACAGTGGCTGTACAGTAACATGCTATAAATTATGGCAGAGCTCAGGTCTCCGCTTCACAGCTCTGTATGGGTTTTGAATGACAGCCGTTCTGAACTTGAGCACCGCACGCAACAAAGAAGTTGCCCCCATCTCTCCCGGTAATTGGGCAACTTTTGCAACTTTTTTTGTTGTCTGAGTGAGCGAAATGCTGAAACTAAAGAGGACTGTATGCATTTTGAAAGATGAGACATTGAGGATTATAATAAATACCAGTTTGATGTAATACAAGCAAGCCAAACACCCGTGAGTCCAAATGTGCACTTCACATTTCCATATCATAAAACTCACGTCATATACAATGTCAACGGTTATGATCATTATGTTTGATGTACAGTTCCAAGATGACATGGCGTCATACCCTGGGTTGTTCTGAACAGAATGAGCCTGTTTGTCTATTGTGAAGAAAATTTGCTGTGGAACATGCACCTGAATGCACACATTAATCCTTTCTATGCACGTACAAATTACAATTAGTTTCTCTGAATTGCCTTGTGAAAGCCTAACACTGTAAGATCATATTTTATAACTTAGCTAGTCATGTTGGCAATAGAACAAGCTTTCAAATGATGCCCACCTGACCCAGATTGCGATTTATAATGGGCTGTTTTTGGATTGCGTAAACAACAACAGTAATTGTGTGATTGCAGGGTTGTGTTCCAAACAAAACAACTACAAGTGTGCTTGCTCTAGTTCCTCAATGGCACAGCTAGGAGAGCTAAAAAAAGAATAATAGCAACTTATAGTTAATTACTCTTCTTTGAGTCATAAAAGGGCATAGTAATTACTTAGTAACTGTGCACACTTTGGAGAGATGTGTGGCCACCTGGAGACACCAGTTAGTCCTCTCACTCAAACGCTTTTGTCTTATGTTGCACACACCCCACATTTTCCAGGATTATTTTTATCATGTTACTGAATGTATCCAGAGTGTTTTCTGATTTCATTATCAACAAATGTGGCGAAAAGTACAGTAAATCTAAAATGCACATAAAATCAACAGTGTAATGTTTGGATTCAGAATTACAGTGCATATGGAAAGTTTTCAGACCCCTTGACTTTTTCCAAATTTTGTTACGTTACAGCCTTCTAAAATTGATTAAATTGTTGTTGTTTTTCTGGTCATCAATCTACACACAATACCCCATAATGACAACGCAAAAACAGGTTTTTATAAATTTTTGCAAATTTATTACAAATAAAAAAAATGGAAATATCACATTTTAAATAAGAATTCAGACCCTTTATTCAGTACTTTGTTGAAGCACCTTTGGCAGCGATTACAGCTTAGTCTTCTTGGGTATGACGCTACAAGCTTGAATAATTCTAAAAAGAATAATGTGCAAATGTTGTACAATCCAGGTGTGTAAAGCTCTTAGAGACTTACCCAGAAAGACTCACAGCTGTAATCACTGCCAAAGGTGATTCTAACATGTATTGACTCAGGGGTGTGAATACTTATGTAAATGAGATTTCTGTATTTCATTTTCAATACATTTGCTAAAATGTCTAAAAACATGTTTTCACTTTGTCATTATAGGGTATTGTGTGTGGATGGGTGAGAGAGTTTGCCTTTTTGCCCAACATTTCATTTAAGGTGCTCCAAAGCTTTTTACTATCATTCTTTATATAATTTATCTTTTTCATAGTACAGTTTCCAATTTTTTGGTTTAGTCACATGATTTTTCGATTTACAGGACGTTTGATGATTAGCTGTGCAGCCAGACTTATTTGCCATTCCTTTTGCCTCATCCCTCTTAACCATACCATTTTTCAATTCCTCATCAATCCATGGGGATTTAAGTTTTTACAGTAAAATTTGACTCTTAGCTTTCATTTGAAACCTATGAACTTCACATGTTGGTGCTCATGTTTTTGTTTAGATGGAAATGCCCATTTGTAAATACTGTACATAATGTACTACAACCTTATGGTTACCACAGCAGTGCTCTGTATCTGGTAGGGTGTTCTCTGTTCATTTTGGGACGTTTGACACCATTCATACCACGTGGTGTTTACATAACTCTGTTTGGTGGGGAAAAAATTACTAGCTAGGTTATTATTCAGCTCAATCTAAACTAAATAGATAACAGAAGTTTCATATTACAGAAGAACTCTGCATTGATCTTATTTTTATTATTTTAGTCATATCATAAGATCTGCTATGTTAACAGCTGGATACTGGCTGTCTGACCACTAAGGGATGGTTCCTCAGACACAGATTAATGCTAGTCCTGGATTAAAAGGCACTTTCAATAGAGATTTTCCAGTGTCTGGGACAGTTATTTTCGGGAAACCAGCCCTAAGCATACCTCACTAAGTTACCCTTTTCTCTCTCCCCCTACCAGGTGTTCCCAGAGGGCAGCTGGCTGGTGGCTCTGTGTGCAGGTATGATCAGCAGTGTGGTGGTGGTGGCAGCCATGACACCCTTTGACGTGGTCAGCACACGGCTCTACAACCAACCTGTGGATCATACAGGCAAGGTCAGTGGTTTACTTTACATGGTCCTTCCTGTGTGGCTCAGTTGGTAAGAGCATGGCGCTAGCAACACCAAGGTCGTGGGTTCTATTCCCGCAGTGATCACATGCACATACTAAATATGTATGCTGTCACTGTGCTGCCAAGTGGCTCTGAAAAAAACTCTCACAAGGGAAAGGGTGTGTTGAGCAAAATATAAAGATTAACATTCCTGCAGGTCTACAGTATTGATAAAAGGGACCCAAGTGACCCACTGTTGTTTACCACATGAATTGTCTTAATGTAATTGTACTACTCTCTAACATGGCTCTGAATACTGACTGGATATCCTCTCATTTCCAGGGAGAGCTCTATAAGGGTTTTGGGGACTGCTTCTCGAAGACACTGAAGAAGGAGGGTGTGACAGGGCTCTACAAAGGCCTGGGTGCATCCTACTTCCGTCTGGGGCCACACACCATCCTGTCTCTACTGTTCTGGGACGAACTGCGGAAGCTCTGGCAGCAGCGCAGATAGTAGCCGGCAGGCAGGGCAAGCTCTACTCTGCCAGCAACACAGATAGTATCAGGAAAGGGAGACTCAGGCCGTGTTCCAGGCCATCTGCAAAGCAGTTGCGCTGCATAAATTAACCAATGATTGCCACGTCATCTATACTGCAGTCGGGCATCAGAATTATATATTTTTTGTATAGGTTTTATTAATATTTTTTCTCAAACAATAACAACCTACTCATTCCAGGGTTTTTCTTTATTTTTACTATTTTCTACATTGTAGAATAATAGTGAAGACATCAAAACTATTATATAACACATGGAATCATGTAGTAACCAAAACAGTGTTAAACAAATCAAAATATATTTTAGATTCTTCAAAGTAGCCACCTTTTGCCTTGATGACAGCTTTGCACACTCTTGGCATTCTCTCAACCAGCTTCACGAGGAATGCTTTTCCAACAGTCTTGAAGGAGTTCCCACATATGGTGAGCACTTGTTGGCTGCTTTTCCTTCACTCTGCGGTCCAACACATCCCAAACCATCTCAATTGGGTTGAGGTTGGGTGATTGTGGAGGCCAGGTTATCTGATGCAGCACTCATCACTCTCCTTGGTCAAATAGCCCTTACACAGCCTGGAGGTTTGTTTTGGGTCATTGTCCTGTTGAAAAACAAATTATAGTCCCACTAAGCGCAAACCAGATGGGATGGCGTATTGCTGCAGAATGCTGTGGTAGCCATGCTGGTTAAGTGTGCCTTGAATTCTAAATAAATCACAGACAGTGTCACCAGCAAAGCACCATCACACCTCCTCCTCCATGCTTCACGGTGGGAACCACACATGCAGAGATCATCCGTTCACACAAAGACAAAGACACGGCGGTTGGAACCAAAAATCTCAAATTTGGACTCATCAGACTAAAGGACAGATTGCTCGTGTTTCTTGGCCCAAGCAGGTCTCTTCTTCTTATTGGTGTCCTTTAGTAGTGGTTTCTTTGCAGCAATTCGACCATGAAGGCCTGATTCACGCAGTCTCATCTGAACAGTTGATGTTGGGATGTGTCTGATGCTTGAATTCTGTTAAGCATTTATTTGGGCTGCAATCTGAGGTGCAGTTAACTCTAATGAACTTATCCTCTGCAGCAGAGGTAACTCTCTGTCTTCCTTTCCTGTGGCGGTCCTCATGAGAGCCAATTTCATCATAGTGCTTGATGGTTTTTGCGACTGCACTTGAAGAAACTTTCAAAGTTCTTGAAATGTTCCGTATTGACTGACCTTCATGTCTTAAAGTAATGATAGACTGTCGTTTCTCTTTGCTTATTTGAGCTGTTCTTGCCATAATATGGACTTGGTCTTTTACCAAATAGGGGGATCTTCTGTATACCACCCCTACCTTGTTACAACACAACTGATTGGCTCAAACGCATTAAGAAGGAAAGAAATTCCACAAATTAACTTTTAGTAAGGCACACCTGTTGATTGAAATGCATTTCAGGTGACTACCTTATGAAGCTGGTTGAGAGAATGCCAAGAGTGTGCAAAGCTGTCATCAAGGCAAAGGGTGGCTACTTTGAAGAATCTCAAATATGGTTACTTCATGATTCCATATGTGTTATTTCATAGTTTTGATGTCTTCACTATTATTCTACAAATGTAGAAAATAGTAAAAATAAAGAAAAACCTTGGAATGAGTAGGTGTGTCCAAACTTTTGACTGGTACTGTATGTCTCAACCACACTCCCCTTCATCGCCTGGAACATTCCAGTGCTTGTAGCACTCTGCCAAATGGCCTCAAATTGCACTGTTCTATTTTTGTCCGTAGCCCACACCTTTTAAAAATTTACATAATAATACATTTGATTCATCCACTGTCATATTGATGGAGGATAATTTGATTCCCAGTTGTTGAGTATAAGTTTTTTCAAAATCATTAACGAGAGAAGTATGGTCCACCCGATTGGGTATCTCACCGCACCCTCATATGCCATGTCTTGAAGTATGCAGATAGACAGATTAAAAGTAAACGTACGTTGTAAAACTTATGACAGCCAACTTTCTAACGCCGCCCATAACTTTTGGACTTTATAGCACTCCCAGAAGGCATGGATTATTAAGTCCTTGTTAGTTTTACACTTAAGACATGACTCTGCCGTTGTGCTGTAGAATTTGTGAATTTTGTCTCTTGTATTATAAATTCTATACATTAGTTTATACTGGATTAAGCATACATTTTAGTTAACTGTAATTTGGTTAGTTATGTTCCAACACTCCCTCCATCTTGTGTAAGGCATCAGAATTGAATATCATATTAATGCGATTACTGACATCCAGGAGTTGGGATGTGGTGCGTGACTGCAATGTAGGTGGCCCTGAACATGGACGCAGTCAGGTATAAAGATAGGTCACTCATTAAGCCACAGGTCAGTTCACAGGGTGAAGATCCCTCATTTAATGAGTTTGTAGCCTGATCCCAGATCTGTTTGTTCAGTCTTGCCAACACCTATGGTCATTGACCATACAACGTAAACAGATCTGGGACCAGGCTTATGCATTTGGTCTTTTTTTTAAATAGAGCAAAGGTCTTGGTTTTACGCTCCAATAAGAATCCAATTCAAACTGGTTTCTGATCTCTGAAGCACAATAAGGTAACAGGCTGCTGTGGTTGCTGACACGTTGTGTGCAGCAGGATAGTTTATCCATCCAATAAGAATAGGAAGATGTTTGAGTCAGAATAATTCTTCTGCAGAATGTTCACCACAAGCTTCCTCCACTTTTACTAATAACGCCCATACCTCATTTATCAAGTTACTGACTGCTGTGAACTTATGTAGCTTGAGTACTAGGAAACATCTATTACACAATTGAATCTACAGAGAATTTGGACATCTACAGATTAGGCAAGACTTCTTCAAACGTACATGAACAATCTCAGCACAGTATTGATAGAGAAAGCATTGACCTTCAGAGTAGATTTGATTACAAACCCATTGCAACAATTATTTTCACAAATGTAATATAAACTTACTGCAGAAATTAGACATGAGCTTATTTTTATAAAGTATAGTGAGGTTTGTTCATACCGCTTGCCTTACTGTAAAATTGCTCTCTGAATGTATAGCTTACTGCTTCTATTGCTTCTAAGGTTGACCAATATTGTACAATGGGTCTGCTTACTTGACGCAGCTTGGTTATTTAATTGCTGTACATCCATTACAGGCATTTTGATCTCTCTAATGAATGTATTCATTGTCTTGTCTAGATCAAATCTCTGAAGGATATCTATTTACTAACGTGATTCTGATATTGGTTTGCTACACAGCCATATGCAGTGCCATGTAATGTAATCTTGTAGGACAAAAAAAAAAGGTTATTGCTGTCAAATGGAAATTATGATTTCCATTTCAAGGGTAGCAGTTAAACATGGGTTGTTTTCCATTGTATTTCAGTAGACAAAGAAAGCCCTTGTTGCCAAGGAGATGACGAGTGAAGGAATTGACAAAGTAAAAAGGTTGCAACTTCACTGATTATGAGCTCATAAGTTATAGTGAATGCTCCGACTTAAAATTTAAGCTGAACTAAAATATTAACGCAACATGCAAGATTTTCAAAGATTTTACTGAGTTACAGTTCATATAAGGAAATCAGTCAATTGAAATAAATTCATTAGGCCCTAATCTATGGATTTCACGACTGGGAATACAGATATGCATCTGTATATTTAAAAAAGGTAGGGGTGTGTATCAGGAAACCAGTCAGTATCTGGTGTAACCACCATTTCCCTCATGCAGCGCGACATCTCCTTCGCATAGAGTTGATCAGGCTGTTGATTGTGGCCTGTGGAATTTTGTCCCACTCCTCTTCAATGGCTGTGCGAAGTTGCTGGATATTGGCGGCAACTGGAACACATCGATCCAGAGTATCCCAAACATGCTCAATGAGTGACATGTTTGGTGAGTATGCAGGCAATGGAAGAACTGGGACAGTTTCAGCTTCCAGGAATTGTGTACAGATTCTTGTGACATGGGGCAGTGCATTATCATGCTGAAACACGAGGTGATGGTGGATGAATGGCATGACAATGGGCCTCATGATCTCGTCACGGTATCTGAATTCAAATTGCCATCGATAAAATGCAATTATGTTCGTAGCTTATGCCTGCCCATACCATAACCCCACCGCCACCATGGGCACACTGTTCACAACATTGACATCAGCAAACTGCTCGCCCACAAACTGTCTGCCCGGTACAGTTGAAACCGGGATTCATCCGTCAAGAGCACACTTCTCTAGCGGCCATCGAAGGTGAGCATTTGCCCACTGCAGTCGGTTACAACGCCGAACTGCAGTCAGGTCAAGACCCTGGTGAGGACGACGAGCACACAGATGAGCTTCCCTGAGACGGTTTTTGACAGTTTGGCAAGAAATTCTTCGGTTGTGTAAACCCAGTTTCATCAGCTGTCCGGGTGGCTCGTCTCAGACCATCCCGCAGGTGAAGAAGCCGGATGTGGAGGTCCTTGGCTGGCGTGGTTACACGTGAGGCCGGTTGGATGTACTGCTAAATTCTCTAAAATGACATTGGAGGCAGCTTATGGTAGAGCAATTAACATTCAATTATCTAGCAACTGCTCTGGTGGACATTCCTGCAGTCAGCATGCCAATTGTACACTCCCTCAACTTGAGACATCTGTGGCATTGTGTTGTGACAAAACTGCACATTTTAGAGTGTCCTTTTGTCCCCAGCACAAGGTGATCATGCTATTTAATCAGCCTCTTGATATGCCACACCTGTCAGGTGGATAGATTATCTTGGCAAAGGAGAAATGCTCACTAACAGGGATGTAAACAAATTTGAGAAATAATTTTGTGCACATGGAACATTTCTGGGATATTTTATTTCAGCTCATGAAACATGGGACCAACACTTTACATGTTGCGTTTTATATTTTTGTTCAGTTTAATATCAGCATAAGCAAAGTTCATACAATTTAAGTAAACAAATTATACCACGAGAAGACAACCAAAGCCAAAGCGCAATCTTGAGTGGTTTTTACTTTGAGCAGTAACTTGCATATTACATTATGTCTGTCTTTGAGAGAACAAAAAGATTGGAGATGAGTGTAAAGGGAATGTCTGTTGAAGCGATGTGGTGGGCTGGACCTGGAGCCCTCTTCTACCCAAACACGCCTGGGTCGTGTAGTCTGAGAGACTGCAGTAAATGCTGGAAGTCCTGCAGCGTCCATGGCTCTGTGTTCTCCTGCTGCTCTCCTCCTATCCCCACTGCACTGCTGCTGCTAGGGCTGGGAGGGCAGAGAGGCGAGGGGGTCGGGAGAGGTTAGGGAGAAGGAGTAGCACTTAACATAACAGGCAGCTTGGGAAAAAGTGGTAATACCAGGGTAATAGCATTGGTAACAAGTTATAGTAGTTAATGAAAACATTGATACCCTGTTTTCAGTTTAATTTATATTAATATAAAATTACATAACACATTTTGCCACATAGTACATTTTGCATAAATTATGTCCTACCCATGCTTTATCCATATATTACAAAAAAAATAAATGATTTTGTGGAATGATTTTTCATGTCTTCTACTTCATAAAACTCCAGTACTAGAACACCAGGGATAGACAGGAGTCCCCTATGGGCACTGTTCAAAAGTAGTCCACTATATAGGGAATATGGTGCCATTTGGGACAAACACCCTGTATAACCTCACCTTATGCTGAGGGGGTCGTTGAAGGTCACTAGAACATCCGTAGAGAACTGTGGTAGTCGGAACAGGCCAAGGTAAATGGTCACTGTATTTTTGGCCTGGAGGAAGGAATGCAACAAAATAAGATACAATTCTTGATAACCAGAGCTGGAACAGTTCAAATACAGTTTACCAACAGTTGAGGTGAATGCCAATGTCATATAAACCTCCACATGGTTTCAGACTATATAACTGCAATTGACATGACCCTTCTGACTGTGACAAGGAAAGGACTAGCACTTGTGCGTTTCCTGAAAAGACTAGGCTATAAATCCTCTTGAGTATAGCACACGACTACCAAGGTGAATAATGGGCGTATACTGATTGTGCAAAGGGTTGGGCATTGGTACGTTGTGAGGCTACAGGTGAGATTGTCAGTGAGGTCACAGTGCACTTACTTTCTCTTTCAAAAAACAAGGTTACAATTTCACTAAGAATAAATACATTTTCAGAACTAAGAAAGAAACAGACCGACGTACTTCCTCATTGAACTTGGCCACACACTGTGTTCCAGTGAGTAGAAAGGCAGAGCTGCACTCCTCCAGGGAAAGGTCTGACTTGGGAAGGGCCACCACAGCCCTGACCTCTGATGTCCCTGGGGCCGACGCCTTGTTGCTCCCTGCTACATCCTCAAAGTGGTACCTAAAGGTCAATGGTTACGTTAAGAAAGGTGAGGCTGAGCAGTGAGCAGTTCCTATGCAATGCTTGACTTGGACTGAAATATGTGCCGGTCCTCATTTTGAGTGCCAGTACTGTTTATATTTAGGTGCAGGAACGCCACAATACTTTTGAGTTAAAATCTATAAGGAGGTGCAGGAACTCAAAACATAGAACATTTGGAGGTGCCAGTACTCAGTTCCGGTGAGCTCCTGCCCAAGTCAATCACTGCAAAAACACACAGGATTCATCCCAAATGGTACTCTATTCTACATATAGTGCACTACTTTTGACCAGAGCCCTATGAACCTTGGTCAAAAGTAGTGTGCACTATAAAGAGAATAGGGTCCCATTTGGGATGAACTCACACCACAATTCTGGTGCATACCTGGCAGCGTCTCCATTCTGGACATGGCTCTGTAACTCCAGTAGCTCCACGATGATGCTCTGGTCAGTGTGGTCGTGGGCAAAAACCTCCTGGTTGTCTGGAATCTCCCTCAACTCACTGCTCATATACAAGGGAGGGAGGGTCAGAGAGAGGGAGAGAAAGAGGGGGGGGGGGGGGGGGGTAAATGTGCTCGAGACAGTTCAGCTTCTCCCTCCGCAGCTGACAGTGTTGACCATAGAAATGTGTTGACCATGATATTTAGTCTCACCTGATGTCTTTGGCACTGTGAGGGATGGTGGCTGACAGGGCTCCTCCAAATAGAGGACGAACCATTGTGGCATTCTGCATTCTGGAGGAACTAGGGGAAATAAAATAAGACAGGGAGCTAAATTAGAGACTTGTGGGGCGGACTCATTAGGGACATCATCAGCATTCTTATTTAGTTCTTGAAAACCCTTCTTATCTGTAGGGTTTTCAGCGGTTAGTTCTGCCCTCGGTTGCCTGCTTGTGAACTACAATTCCGATGCTGTGTTTTAACGTTTAGAAACGTCAATAATCATTGCTTGCGAAACGGTTTTCAAAACATATGCTGATATGCCCCTTATCTTTCATATCAGCGAGAAATAATCTTTCAAATAAATAAGATGCACTTACTGTAGCAGTTTTGCACAGATCCATATGCTGCTTTAGCCCTTGATCATGACTCAGTTCCATTACATTACACATAAGTCATTGGAGAAAGGCGTCTTCTGTACCGGGGCGTTTTGTTAAGAGCCCCAACGCTCGGTCTGAACATTAACACGCATCCCTTGCGGTATGGTTTTGGAAGGATAAGGCCCTTATTTTTCATATCAGCGAGAAATCATTTTCAAAAAACAAAAGGTTAAATTGATACACACCTTTATAGGGTTAGTGTTCCCACATGGCCATATCTCCACGGAAGACAGAGGCCTAAATAGCTATCTAGCATGCCTGAAAAGGGGAAGAAGTGTAGTTCATCAACTGGAGGAGCACACAGCGTTAGCCCAAGATGTACTCTTAAAGAACGTATATGTTATTTTCAGAGGTAGACTGGCTCTGGCAGCCAAAACAGCCAAATACTCCCATCTAAACGTGAATAATTCTCAATTGCGATAGAGTTCTAGAAACATAAAGCCATTTACTTTCATATCACATCAAAATAATTTCACGAATGCAAAATATACACATACTGTACACTGTTTGTACCGGCTTTATCACAATTGTAGCAGACAGTATTTTTCAGTGACAACGTGTTTCTGGAGGCTTTCTTCCATTACACAGGTGTTTGGCGCGTGCTAGGTAGCTAATTAGCACAGGTGGTCCATCTGGCAGTCTAGACTTGACAAACAGTTCATGCAGCTTTTGTATTCTGATCATGGAATTCCGAACAAGTAATGCCTCTACACCTACATTTAATGTGTCTACCATGTCCACATTGCATCCTGATTCCCTTTTCAAGCGCTATATTCAAATGCAAGTATACATTATGCATATGGTGGAAAATACTAAATATAATAACACAACAACAACTTGATGGCAATCGCCATTTAACCTCTAACTAGCCAACAAACTAACTAACAAAATTAAAGGGATTGAAAACCGGTTAGCATATCTCGAGGCCAAACAATTATAATCTAATCTGGCTAGCATTTATGAAGCACGCAAACACGTTCCTCACACGCTGGTAATGTATTTCCGCCAACGTTTAATGAAAAATGGCCATGTGGGAACCCTACAACTAAAAGGTGTGTAGTAATTGAAAATGATTTTAAAATGGTGATATTATAGATATCTTGCTTATAATTCCAAAACCGTACCGCAAGCGAGACGTTTTAAAACAACACATGCCAGAAGATACTGGGTGCGTTCGTAAATTCACTCTGGCTATCTATTCCGATTTCAGAGGACTGAGTGTGCCAGAGTGCAGATTAATTGATGAATTTACGAACGCGCAACACCGGTTGAATGTGACCGGTGTCAGTAAACGTCGGCAAAAAAACGTAATTAAATTGTTGCCAGCAGCACAGTCACCAACTCTCTAGATAACATGAAAACTGGCTAACCAGCTCTGCTAGGGCTTGAAAAATGGTCTGAGTGAGGTGTTCTCTCATTTATGTCTGGAATTAGCTCAGTTGGTAGAGCATGGTGTTTGCAACGCCAGGGTTGTGGGTTCGATTCCCACAGGGGGCCAGTATGAAAAATAAAATAATCTATGCACTCACTAAGTCGCTCTGGATAAGAGCGTCTGCTAAATTACTAAAATGTAAGTTGCTAGCAAGCTGGCTAACTTTAGCCAGTTAGCTTGGGTGCTTGAATGCCATTGTCAGGTCAGAACTCTCGGATCAACCCTACGCCTCCGCCAGAGCGTCCAGTGTGCGCTCTGAATTTACGAACGGACAATTTGACAACGCTCTGAATTTACGAACACTCTGGCACTCCAGAGTGAATTTACATACACACCCACTATCATTATAGGCGCTAAAGGTAGTTAGCGTCTATGAATGGGTTATATTCTTATTAGGCTACTTGTTATTTGTCACATACACGTGTTCAGCAGATGTTATAGCGGGTGTAGCGAAATGCTTGTGCTTCTAGCTCTGACAGTGCAGTAATATCTAACAAGTAATCCATGATTTAGGTACCCGCTATTCAATCACAACATCAGCGAATAAACCACTGGTATTGCAAACGGTATTCATTTTTACAGTTAATCAACAATTTTATTAACCTACCTGAGTTTTTGTAAGCACTTGAGACAAAACAAAAACACAACACGAAGGGCTACAAAGTTGCCATTTTTATTGGCGGAAGTAAACAGTAAAACCAGAGAATAATCTGACTCCGCGAAGTAATGGCTAGAAAGGTACTGCCATCTAGCGAACATCGGCTGAATGTCAGCTAAATGGTCTAAAATATAAATGTTATTGTGCAAGTGTTTCAGAAGTAATCACGGTACCCCAAAACCATCAAAAACAGCATGTAAAGTACATAAAAAAAAAGCTGTAAAATTTCAATTTCCTCGGACTGTCTTTATTACATCACAACCCTTCTATTGCGTCACTACAGAATTACATGGATCAGACATTGTGACAATGAACAAGCTTTTTGTTGAGATCAAATCAATCAATTATCAATTTTAACGTGGAGGGAAGTGACCATCAACCGAATGAGGTAAGTGAATGGCAAACACCTTCTGGAATCAATAGTGATGATTAGGCAACAAAACTCAAATTCAGTTTGTCAGATGTTTTTGTACCTCAAAAAGGTTCTATATCAGCATAGGCCTACAGGGCAGATGGCAGGAAATAGGGGCACCACTTTTGACTAAGAGTCTAACAGACTTTTGGAAGAGTCTAACAGACTTTTTCGTCAATGCATCCCTTTACAATGCTATTTTTTTACACAATACAATATCTCACTGAAATTCAGTCTCAGACTCTCATCTATAGGTGTCACACGCAATGACTGGCGCTGGATCATCATTGATGCCCCTGAGAGGCATTCTGAAGAATTCTCATTCATCTGATGAACCAGAGCTTTTAGTTCACAATCCCGACTGCCCCCTGCGCTGCCAGGTACCATCTCCTGCCGTTGTGCCCTTAACCCCTCCAGGGGGGGTGAGTCAGGCAGAAGACACATTTCAGTGGTTAAAATAAAGTATGTATTCTGCTTCAGTCCTCCCCAGTGCCCCTGACCCAGCTGCAGTGCCACCTCAGCCTTGGCTCCAACTCAGCATCACTATCCAACCCAGGCATGCCCCTCAAAGGCATCCTCAGGACCAGCATCAGCTCTGGGGCGACGGAAACACAGAAAGATTGTAACAGTTCTAAATTTCGGTGAGGTCCTTTTTATTTCCCCCCTTATTTTCCCTCAGTGAAAGAGGATGGGTGCATTGCACATTGCTTGGGGTGCATTGCACATTGGTTTACTTACATTTACTAAATTCAATATCAACAAGCTTTTGTTATCCCTATGTTTCATGCCTGAAAGGTTTGTTTGAACCTTGTGCACTGTATTTCCACCATGCTTACTAGGCCTAATTATATTCTGCTCACCATTCAGCCGTCTCCCCTGTTCTGAGTTACAAAATCAAGAAGATACGAGGAGATGCACCATTTAGGCTTTAGAACTTTGTGGTCCTTGCCTATGTTTCAGGAAGAGACAGAGATGGGACGAGGGCAACATCCTAGCCACTAGCTGTCACTCCTGGCTGATGCCGGTGTCAGGGAGTAAGGAAGTCAAACCTGGGCCTCATCTGTGAGTAGATCAGAATGATGGAGGTATATAGGGAAATTGATATCCATAGTGGACATACTGCCATTGCACCTGCAATTCGTTGATCAATCATCTTCAGTGAATGAAGTAAAAAGACAAATCTCAGTTTACCGTGGACAATATACATTCTTCTTCTTCTTCTTCTTCTTCTTCTTCTTCTTCTTCTTCTTCTTCTTCTTCTTCTTCTTCTTCTTCTTCTTCTCAGGTGTAGTGTCACCATGTTGGATGGGGGTGCAGGCACCAGTACATCAGGAGAACAGATATGTCTGTGTATGAGTAAGAGGTAAGAGGACAGAAAGAACATTGGATTTTATGCATCAGATATGCTGTGTCTGTCTTGATGTACAGTACCAGTCAAATGTTTGGACACACCTACTCATTCAAGGGGTTTTCTTTATTTTTTACTATATTCTACACTGTAGAATAATAGTGAAGACATCAAAACTATGAAATAACACATATGGAATCATGCAGTAACCAAAGTGTTAAACAAATCAAAATATATTTTGTATTTGAGGTTCTTCAAAGTAGCCACCCTTTGCCTTGATGACAGCTTTGCACACTCTTGGCATTCTCTCAACCAGCTTCACACTTTGCCTTGATGACAGCTTTGCACACTCTTGGCATTCTCTCAACCAGCTTCACCTGGAATGCATTTCAATTAACTGGTGTGCCTTGTTAAAAGTTAATTTGTGGAATTTCTTTCCTTCTTAATGCATTTGAGCCAATCAGTTGTGTTGTGACAAGGTAGGGGTGGTATACAGAAGATAGCCCTATTTGGTAAAAGACCAAGTCCTTATTATGGCAAGAACAGCTCAAATAAGCAAAGAGAAACGACATGTCAAACACAGAAGTCAGGCAAAATGTCCCTGTATTGCAATTGGGAATGACATTGATTGGAGAACACCTAAGATGCCATGCCTCCACTGACAGCATCAGGCTTTGTCTAAAACTCAAATAACCGATAATGTCCACATGGCTGAGTGGCTTATTATTCCTTATCTGACCTGATATTCTTTCTCAGGAAGAAGAGCCAGAGCTGGAATGAGATGAGTATTATGGCCACTCAGCCTCCCTACACGGACAACCCCTGGATGAAGGCAGACGATGGGTTCACTGCCTCTGTTGGCCTATTTACTAGGTGCATATGCAAGTGAAAGGGTATCATTAGCATACACCATTCTGTGTCCATCTCTCCTCTCTCCCTCTCTCCCTCTAATTACCTATCCTGTGTGTTTCTGTCCTCTCCTCTAGGCGGTCCCTGTCCCTCAGGGATGATGCAGGTCCCAGCCACAGCAGTACCAGCACCTCTTACAGCCAGCCTCCGTGCTCTCCACTGAAGCCTGTGAAGAAGTGAGAACACACAGACAAATATATTCAGACGCATACACATATAGAGGTTATCAGTACCCTATGCTACAAGGCCCAAGATGAATGTGTGATTTTAGGGGAAACTCTTATTCAGCATGTCTTTCAGTTTCTTACTGACTAACTACGCTTAAACTTAATACATTTTTGCCTTTAGCTCATCAGCCTCAAATCAGTATCCAAACCGAAACCAATTAGATCAACCTAAGGACACCTCACAACACGGGATGATGGGCTCGTCAAAACAGGCGATAGAGGCAAAGGCTATGGCCACAGAGGAGAGTGCAGACATAGATCTCTATGGTGAGTAGATAAAAAAGCACACAATTACAGTACTCTACGGTATTGAATAATCACCCCCAAATGCATCTTGTCTATGCATTGAGCAGATGTTGAAAGCTAAGAGCATTGTGGTTCTATTTTATCTCACCTGCTGCCTTCTCACCTGACAATCACCTTGTTGAATTCATTCATCCTCACAGTGAGCCCCAGCTTTGAGCAGCTGAGGAAAGCCCACTTCAGAGAAGACAGAGAGGTGCTCCTGGCTCGGAGATCCATAGTCAAAGATGATGATGAGGATGAAGATACGGAGAGTACGGATTACACCGTCCCCATGCTAAACTATTGCAGCTGCACCTCCAGTGGCGGGGGATACGCAGCACCGATGTGCAAGCGAACACAGACCGGTGAGTTACGAACATGATATGACACTGTTATGAACATGATATGAGACTTTCTATTATCTACACTGCACTCATATAAACTCAGCAAAAAAAGAAACGTCCTCTCACTGTCAACTGCGTTTATTTTCAGCAAACTTAACATGTGTAAATATTTGTATGAACATAACACGATTCAACAACTGAGACATAAACTGAACAAGTTCCACAGACATGTGACTAACAGAAATGGAATAATGTGTCCCTGAACAAAGGGGGGGTCAAAATCAAAAGTAACAGTTAGTATCTGGTGTGGCCACCAGCTGCATTAAGTACTGCAGTGCATCATGGACTGCACCAGATTTGCCAGTTCTTGCTGGGAGATGTTATCCCACTCTTCCACCAAGGCACCTGCAAGTTCCTGGACATTTCTGGGGGGAATGGCCCTAGCCCTCACCCTCCGATCCAACAGATCCCAGACGTGCTCAATGGGATTGAGATCCGGGCTCTTCGCTGACCATGGCAGAACACTGACATTCCTGTCTTCCAGGAAATCATGTACAGAACGAGCAGTATGGCTGGTGGCATTGTCATGCTGGAGGGTCATGTCAGGATGAGCCTTTAGGAAGGGTACCACATGAGGGAGGAGGATGTCTTCCCTGTAACGCACAGCGTTGAGATTGCCTGCAATGACAACAAGCTCAGTCCGATGATGCTGTGACACACCGCCCCAGACCATGACGGACCCTCCACCTCCAAATCGATCCCGCTCCAGAGTACAGGCCTCGGTGTAACGCTCATTCCTTCGACGATAAACGCGAATCCTACCATCACCCCTGGTGAGACCAAACCGCGACTCGTCAGTGAAGAGCACCTTTTGGCAATCCTGTCTGGTCCAGCGACAGTGGGTTTGTGCCCATAGGCGACGTTGTTGCCGGTGATGTCTGGTGAGGACCTGCCTTACAACAGGCCTACAAGCCCTCAGTCCAGCCTCTCTCAGCCTATTGCAGACAGTCTGAGCACTGATGAAGGGATTGTAAGGGGTGTAACTCGGCAGTTGTTGTTGTCATCCTGTACCTGTCCCGCAGGTGTGATGTTCGGATGTACCGATCCTGTGCAGGTGTTGTTACACGTGGTCTGCCACTGCGAGGACGATCAGCTGTTCATCCTGTCTCCCTTGTAGCGCTGTCTTAGGCGTCTCACAGTACAGACATTGCAATTTATTGCCCTGGCCACATCTGCAGTCCTCATGCCTCCTGCAGCATGCCTAAGGCACGTTCACGCAGATGAGCAGGGACCCTGGGCATCTTTCTTTTGGTGTTTTTCATAGTCAGTAGATAGGCCTCTTTAGTGTCCTAAGTTTTCATAACTGTGACCTTAATTGCCTACCGTCTGTAAGCTGTTAGTCTTAACGACCATTCCACAGGTGCATGTTCATTAATTGTTTATGGTTCATTGAACAAGCATGGGAAACAGTGTTTAAACCCTTTACAATGAAGATCTGTGAAGTTATTTGGATTTTTACAAATTATCTTTGAAAGACAGGGTCCTGAAAAAGGGACGTTTCTTTTTTTGCTGAGTTTATTATGGTTTGTCACAAACTGTCATCATGAGTGATTATGATTGTTCTTAGAGGTAACTAAAAGGAGGAACTGAATGAATAACAAGCTCTCCTTTTATCTTCAGTGGATACGGAGAAGGAGAAGACAATTCCCTCAGATAAGTGATGAGTGGGTGTCGGTGTCTCGGCCACTGTCTCTGCGCCATCACCATGCTTATGTTACATCCCACCTGCGTGAGTCAAGGTCTACAGTACCAACGCGTTACCACATCAATAGACTTGTAAGAAATACACACCTCAAACGTTATTCTCTTGTTGTCATTTTTAATTACTATCCCAGTCAGGATTTACATTTTCACCAAAGACTTCCTTGAAAGTTGATCATCCCTCCTGTTAACACCAGAGGGTACTGTGGAGACACCGCCAAGGCCTAACCCTAGCGTAGTCAGTCTTAATGTGACTAAATAGGTGTTGGAAATAGAGATAAGATGTCTTTATCACTTCTTTACTTTTGAAGTGGTTTTTTCTGACTCAGAGTTTCAGACAGCTTGCACTTCTGCATCCAAACATCTGAGCATGTCAATAGACAGTATATGGAACACCTGCTGTGGTTAGCTTAGGCACACGTGTGTTCAGGCAGGGAAGGTACAGACAATGAGGAGGACTCCCCCCCCCAGCGGTTTAGATAATGATTCTCTCTACACAATGACCTCTTGTTTTCTCACCTAAACTGAAATTAGGCAAACTATTAGAATTTTAGCAACCAGGAAATGGCGGAGTGATTTCTGCATATTGCACCATTAAAAGGAGTTAGTCATTACAACTTCCAAAAAATTAGGAATCACTGTTCAACACCTTATGCATTTGGAAAGTATTCAGACCCCTTGACTTTTTCCACATTTTGTTACGTTATAGCCTTATTCTAAAATTGATTACTTTATTTGTTTCTTCTCATCAATCTACACACAATACCCCATTATGACAAAGCAAAAACAGTTTACGGAAATAAACAGAAATATCACATTTATATAAGTATTCAGACACTTTACAGAGTACTTTGTTGAAGGACCTTTGGCAGCAATTAGAGCCTTGAGTCGTCTTGGGTATGACGCTACAAGCTTGGCACACCTGTATTTGGGGAGTTTCTCCCATTCTTCTCTGCATATCCTCTCAAGCTCTGTCAGGTTGGATGGGGAGCGTCGCTGCACAGCCATTTTCAGGTCTGTCCAGAGATGTTCGATTGGGTTCATGTCCGGGCTCTGGCTGGGCCACTCAAGGACATTCAGAGACTTGTCCCGAAGCCACTCCTGCGTTGTCTTGGCTGTGTGCTTAGGGTTGTTGTCCTGTTGGAAGGTGAACCTTCGCCCCAGTCTGAGGTCCTGAGCGCTCTGGAGCAGATTTTCATCAAGGATCTCTCTGTACATTGCTCCGTTCATCTTTCCCTCGATCCTGACTAGTCTTCCAGTCCCTACCGCTGAAAAACATCCCCACAGCATGATGCTGCCACCACCATGCTTCATCGTAGGGATGGTGCCAGGTTTCCTCCAGATGTGACGCTTGGCATTCAGGCCAAAGAGTTCAGTCTTGGTTTCATCAGACCAGAGAATCTTGTTTCTCATTGTCTGAGGGGCAAACTCCAAGCAGGCTGTCATGTGCCTTTTACTGAGGAGTGGCTTCCGTCTGGCCACTCTACCATTAAGGCCTAATTGGTGGAGTGCTGCAGAGATGGTTGTCCTTCTGGAAGGTTATTCCATCTCCACAGAGGAACTCTGGAGCGCTGTCAGAGTGACCATCGGGTTCTTGGTCACCTCCCTGACCAAGGCCCTTCTCCCCCGATTGCTCAGTTTGGCTCTAGGAAGAGTCTTGATGATTCTAAACTTCTTCCATTTAAGAATGATGCAGGCCACTGTGTTCTTGGGGACCTTCAATGCTGCAGACATTTTTTGGTACCCTTCCCCAGATATGTGCCTCGACACAATCCTGTCTCGGAGCTATACGGACAATTCCTTCGACCACATGGCTTGGTTTTTGCTCTGACATGCACTGTCAACTGTGGGACCTTATATAGACAGGTGTGTGCCTTTCCAAATAATGTCCAATCAATTGAATTTACCACAGATGGACTCCAATCAAGTTGTAGAAACATTTCAAGGATGATCAATGGAAACAGGATGCACCTGAGCTCAATTTCGAGTCCCCTAGTAAAGGGTCTAAAAACATTATGGGGTATTGTGTGTAGATTGATGAGAATTTGTATTTATTTAGTAAATTTTAGAAAAAGGCTGTAACGTAACTAAATGTGAAAAAAGTCAAGAGGTCTGAATACTTAGTGTGTGTGTGTGTCAGGGGGCAGCATTATTACATTGTATTGTTTACATGAAAGAGTGATTATCCACACAATCCAAAGGCATTTGACTTTTGGGGGTAGTGTTATCAATAGTTTACTTACAATTCAAACAGATTACTTTTAGCTTGTTCTTTACAGTAATCTGTTCCGTAAAGTCTATTGCTGGTAGAATTGAGCAATGCAAAGATGTCTTAAGGCTCACACCTAGCTCACTTCCTCTTAGTCACGTGTCACTGTGCCAACAGCATAGCCCACAAGCACCAGGCATTTCTGCATTGGTAACTTGACCCAATGAGTATCTCATGTCAGCTATCTCATTAAAGTATTACAAAGCAGAGTAGCCTAAAGTACAGTACCTTCAGAAAGTATTCATACCCCTTGACTTATTCCACATTGTGTTGTGTTACAGCCTGAATTCCAAATTGATTAAATATTTTTTTCTCACGCATCTACACACAATACCCCATAATGAAAAAGTGAAAGTGTTTTTAGAGATTTTTGCAAATTTATTGAAAATGAAATGCAGAAATATCTCATTTACATAAGTATTCACACCCCTGAGTCAATACATTGTAGAAGCACCTTTGATGGTGATTACAGCTTTGAGTCGTCTTGGATATGTCTGTATCAGCTCTGCACATCTGGATTTGGGGATTTTCTACCATTCTTCCTTGCAGATTTTCTCAAGCTCTGTTAAATTAGATGGGGAGCGGCGGTGAACAGCAATCTTCAAGTCTTTCCACAGATTGTCAATGGGATTCAAGTCTGGGCTTTGGCTGGGCCACTCAAGGACTTTGACATTATTGTTCTGAAGCCATTCCAGCATTGCTTTGGCTGTATGCTTGGGGTCATTGTCCTGTTGGAACGTAAATCTTTGCCCCAGTCTAAGGTCGTTTGCAAGTTCTCATCAAGGATTTGCCTCTATTTGGCTCCATTCATTGTTCCCTCTATCCTTACCAATCTCCCAGTCCCTGCCGCTGAAAAGCATCCACATAGCATGATGCTGCCACCACCATGCTTCACGGTAGGGATGGTGTTAGATGGGTGATTAGCTGTGCCTGGTTTTCTCCAGACATAGAGCTTTGCATTCAGGCCAAAGAGATCAATTTTTGTCTCATCAGACCACAGAATCTTTT